AATATGTGGTAAAATTTAATTTTTTTACTTTAATTTTGCTAAAAATCTAGATTTTAATTTCTCTTGATTTTAATAAGATTGACCTTTTAAAACGAAATTTCAAGTTTTAATATCATGGAGGACAAAAGCATCAGTCTTCTTCACGAGCTAGGCTCACATAGTACATGAAAGTAAAAATAAACTGCTATGCCTTATAATACTATCACAGGCTGTTGATTCAGCAGTTTCTTCTCTTTTTTTTGTATTGGGGCTGTGGCTTATACGTATTGAAAATATAATCATGAACAATTGGTCGTCCCCTTCGCTACATCAACTAGACCCTATATACAAAAATATGAGCCACCTAATCAACAACTACTATATAACTCTTGAAAAGTGAGACGCCCAACCAGGTGTGGAGCCAGGACCCTACAAGGGGACTCGGCCGCACGTGCTGGCTCCGTCGGAATGTGGAAAACCGCCATGTAGCAATCAAGTCCGGAATGTGGAAAATCGCCATGTAGCAATCAAGTCGAAGCAGTTGCAAACTTGCAGATCCGAGCGGAGATGGAAGACGAAGATGAAAGAGACGACCTCTTTTTTTTTCTTTTTGGTTTGGGCTGAGTGAGTAATTGATAAATCAGAAGTTGGGCCACTTTTTGTTTAGCCCAATTCTCAAATGAATGAATAAACAAATGGTCCAATTTCCAAATGATCAAACCATTTTCAAATCGTGAAAGCCAAAAATCCAAACGTGAAATGCCCAAATCGTGAAAGTCAAACCCTTTTCATCCCTTCTCCAATCTCCAATCCACACAGCGCAGCGACGAAGAAGAGGCAGCATCGATCATGACCGACGCCATGAGGTGGAGGAGTCACCGGAGCTCGGAGTCGCCAACGATGTGTTCTGCTGCCAACTGCCGAGTGCCGTCTGCCATTTCGATTTTCTGCTTTTTGGTCTTGAGCTGGTGACTATTCTCTCTCCCTCTTTTTTTTGGTTTTGTTTGTCTTCTGTTTTGTTGGCTACTTAACTTCTTGATGTTGTCATGTTGAGTAATTACTGTTAATTATGTTATGGTTATTGATTTGGAAATTTATGTTTATGAAATTATGTTTGCGAATTGTTATTTATGATAAGTAATATTTTATGAGTTATGATTGTTTTGATTTAGGAATTTACGTTTGCAAATTGTGATTTATTATAAGTATTTTATATTTTTGTGAGGAATGATTATTGATTTGGGAATTTATGTTTACGAAATTATGTTTGCGAATTGTGATTTATGATAAGTAATTTATGTTTTATGAGTTATAATTATTGATTTGGAAATTTATGTTTAAGAAATTAGGATAAATTTAAAAAATTTAATTGAGAAGATGTTGGGAATTTTAGTTCATTTACATATATATTTAATAACTTTTAATATTATTTTATCAAATTTTATAAACGACTGAACTATTGCAATCGTTGATTGTCGACGGTCAACTTCCGCCCTAGTTGAACTTCGATACTGGATTCGCCCCTGCACCCAACCCCAAGTAGTTGGTTGTTTAGCCCATTCCAGAGGTCACTTGTGAGTCTCTTCCCATAAGCCTAAGGTGTGAAGAGCTACACCACAACCGACCCTAGAGTTTGTTAATGTGGAGAATCAAACCAGTTGTGTCTTGGGATTAGGGGCGGAGTTGGAACAAAAGATTTGTGGGGGAAATTATAAAAAATAAATAAGTAAATAAAATTGTGGGGTCAAAATCTGAAAATTAAAGAATTTTTTTGAAAATTTTCTAAATTTATTGTGGAGGCAGTTGACCCCATTGCCCCCCACTCTAAATCCACCCCTACTTGTGACGCCTTTGACAGTGGATGGAATTTGAAGAGATCATTACCTCCAGTGCCTCCTGAAGCTAAGCGAGCATATCAACCTAGCATTCTATTCACTCTTCATGCATCTTCATCTATTTTCAGGAACATTAATTTATACATGAGCTGAAGGCTTTCAGCAATTCAACCAGCATTAATTACTATTTTTTAATTATATTAGACATTCAAGCAGTCAGAACTCTCTGCTACCAACCCAAAAGAAAATATTGAGTCCAGTAGGTGGCCTTAAGACATGGTAAACTGAAAGTGAACTTCTGAAGTTTTCAGCATTTCGCAATGAAAGATTCTGAGGGATGAATATGGGAAATTGCTTGATTGCCATTTTTTTAATTAGTTTGAGGCAGAAGTACGAGATACTTGGTATTAAGGTCTTTTTTTGCTCCCCTTATGCACCTTTGGAGGTAAGGTTCATGTCCCCCTCCCGTTCCCCACCACTGGGTTTAGGTGAAGGCCTAAAAACTTCCCATGAGCTCCTGAAGAAGTACACCATTACTGCAAATACATATTACCACGATAACAAATTAACAATGTTGACGAATACGATCTATGGTGATTATATGACAGATTCAATAGTACATTCAAACCAAGCTACCGTTTACATATCTACAAGACAGTCATGTTACCATTTTATACACACATATGCTTTCAACAAGTGTTAGTGTAAAACCCGCAAGCGTACGGGATCGTTGACAAGTAATAATAAAGTGAGTTATGAGTTATCGTCCCACGAAAAATTATATTTAATTCTAGTTCACTAGTTACTACTAAATTCGATATTCGTGATATAAAAGATGTGATTTTATTGTTATTTTTAAACTAATTCCAAACTAAGGAAGCAATAAAAAATATTTGCTGTGATTTAAAACTATTAATTTAGTTATTTCTTGATTTTCATGATTGATTTTCCATACCCATTGTATTATTTATTGATTGACCTCCAATTGAATAATTAGTTACTTCTTGTAATGTTAGGAGACTCACAATAAATTTAGAATGCGGCAAAATCAAAATATATAAATAGAATTAGAAATAATCTTTATTACATATGTAGTCACATAGATAACCAGTAATTTAATGCATTTTGGTCATATAAATTCGGACTAGGAATAGGATCAGGTTGTGATTAAAATAGACTTAATTTTTCTTGGAAAATGGAATTAAATGCACTAGTGTTATCGATTGTCACGAAAGCATGAAATTGACTAGATTACGAATCAAGAGTTAAAATAAATGGGAATAGGGGGATTCACGATTCTAATACAAACATTTACATATTTGATAAAATAATTTTTACTGCTTCCTTAGTTTAGAATTAGTTTAAATAACAACAAAATCACATATATTGAATATCGAATTTTGTAGTAACTAGTGAATTAAAATTAAACATTATTCTTTGTGAGACGATAATTCACAACTCACTTTATTATTACTTGCCCACAATTTCGTATGATTGCGAGTTTTACGTGAACAAGTTTTTAACAAGCATCCTAGTTGAAGATAAAGATATATCAGCTTTACAACTAGATTTAAGGAGTTCCTTAGGACAGGCAAAAAAATAAAACCTTTTTAATACGAGTTTGGGCACTCGTGCTTCCGTTTCTATTTCGTGAAATTAAGAGGTCTTTTTTCTAACGATAAATAAGGATCCCTAAAAAGGAGAGGCAATCCTTCCATCTCCAAACAGGTGGGAGATATCCAAACCAAAGTACTGGCCCAAAATGATATTGGATTTAAACAAAGGAACCTGTGACTAAGAAAACTAGATGAATCAAGGTTTGAGGACTGGTTGAGAAATGAAGCCAGCCCAGCCTAAATAATTTTATCAATAATGAAATTCCTGTATTCCATACTCTTAGCCCTCAGGCCAGTTATTACAACCTCATTTATACATAAAATGCACAAAGGCATGTTATGACAAGATTTAATTGAATACATCTAGCTCCCACACCTCATACTTTTAGATGAGATGATTAACTAGTATCAGACCAAAACATGTTACTTACGTCTTGCTCTCACCTATTTATTAAAAAATTACTCAGCTTATATGCAAACAAGGGACTTATCAAAGACGAGCTTCTAGACGAGATAATTTAATAGTATTCGTATATACACGTAAAATAACTTTTGGACCGGATTGCCATTACCAATCCTGAGGAGTTTTGAAAGGCAGACACGAGCAGGGATTTAGAAATTCTTATTTATTAAAATTATAAATAAATAAATTTGTGGCTCAAATCAATGTTTTCGTTCCCACCTTGATTACGGGGATTGAGGACGGGAAGTGGGTCTTTTTTACTTGTCCTGTGCTATGTGTACAAAATCCTCTGTTTGAATTTTTATAGAATACACGTGGCAGCATCTAATTAAAAAATGATAAAAAAAAATCAACTAGATAGCACTTTTGCTTCCGTACAAGCATAAAAATTGTTTTTAATTTGAAACTACTCGTTTAAATTAGAATCGGACTGAACTAACACTTGATTTAAAAGGTTGAACCCCAACCTTAAGGGTCTCCCATCGTCCCTATCTTGAAATATCGTGAGAGAGGTAAATCGCAGGTTATGCCTCCAAGGGTACAGCGTGGAAGACTGCTTGTACATTTGCACTTATCCAAGAGCCAAATCTATATTTCAGGATTCGAACCCTTGACGCAGCAGCCTAAAGCAAAACTGGATTTCTCAACCCTCCCCTTTTACCACTTGGAGATGTGCCTTGAGAACGAACTAACACTTGATTTTTTTTTTTTTTAACGAGGTGTCCCAACTTGCGCCAGACTATATCCTTGTCCTTGAACCTCCGGCCCCTCAGCAGCTCAGGGAGGTAAATCGCGAGATGTGCCCTTGTTGGTTCCCAGGTTCCCACACGACTTTTACTCCTTCACCAAAGGGAGCCTCTTCACTACCTTACAGCAACTTGCCTTCCAATATAAATCTTGCCTTCCAAGTTGTGCCTTCCAGGAATCGAACTCTCCACGCTTGGTTCCAAGCCTCCCAATGTGATTGTTCTACCAACTTGGATGTGTCCCGGGGGGCCGAACTAACACTTGATTTGATTCTATGTAACATTGATTCAGTTGAATTTTAAATTTTAAAATCAACAGAGCGACTTTAACATTGTAGCTATGGAACATTAATTTCAAAATCCGCTCTTCGGATAAACTGGAAAAATAGAGTAAAACTACAACACACGACTTTAGTTCAGAACTGAAACAGAAAGGGGAGCAAACCAAATACACGGTTCTTGAGCCTCCGCAGGGACCGTGGCTAGAGTCAATTGCTTCTGCAAACAGCTTGTGGAGCTTCTTGAGGTACTCTCTTCATTTATGGACGCTACGAGAATAAGTATATGTTGTGTGTGTGAGAGATAAAAGGGACCAGATTTCTCCTCCCCACTAAAATAAAGGAAAAGGAATCTGGTGAAATTGTGTTTTATGTGAAATCTTTTTGTTTTTCAAGTATCTATTTTTGAAACGTGCGTGAAAATGGTCCTAAGAAGCTCTAACGAATTATGTAGATGGTAGAATATTCCTGAAATTGGAGAAAGAGGCATTAGGAGGCACTGATTTCTTGTTCTTCGCCAATATAGGGGACATTGTTTGCATCTGTACCCTTAATTTGGGAAATTAAAAGGTTTTGCTTAGGGATTATCCGCTATAATCGACGTAAAATGAAAAGTTAATAGCTTCTCAACATTTTTTTCCCCTTTCTGGTTTAGATTTAGAAATATGCTGCTGTGCCAGGGCTTTTTTACCCACCCTTTTGACAAATTCTCACATGGGTGTGGGGGCGGGTGGGACCCAAGGTGAATTTAAAATGCAAGAAAAGGCCCCACCGACCCCCAAATGTGAGAATAGATCAGGGAGGGTGTCAAAACCCTCCCTGGCACAGCAGCATGGTTCTTTCTTGAACTGTATATATGTATGGTATTCTGTCTTGCTGCTCTAGATTGGAGTCCAAAGCTTGTTTAATGTCTAATTGCACTGTAAATGAATCGAATTTGAACGTGTTCGCCGGCTCAGTATGTTAATGCAATGATTAATCAGATAAAATACTAAAAGTTTGTGGAGAGTGGGCTTGACTAAAACAAGACTTACTATGTTTATGTAAACCTTCATTTGCTATCCCAATGAATTCTGTCGTGGATAAGTTTGATTATACAGTCTTTCTTTCTCTGGAAAAAATCCATAAGCTTGTGATTAATTTGGCTAAATTGGTTGCTGACGATCTGTTTCCTTTGGGCTTTTCTTGGAGGTACTTTGAGTCAATCGGAGTGGAGAAAAATTAATTCAAATAGTCAACAAGATGTTCATTGGATATAAGACTTAGCTTGTTGTTGCATTTCTGTTGTATGTCAATGATTGTGTTTCTTCCATAGTTACTTGATGATAGAAATTGGCAATTTTTTTTTGCCCCTTTTAAGTGTCAGTAGACTCAGTACAGAATTTGACTCATGGGTTTGCCGAGATTTACACGTCCCAAGGGAGGGGATGGCGAGTCAAGTCCAAACCTCTATGTAGCTAACTGTGGGCCTGCAGTTGGACTTTCATTTGAAACTATCATGTCCGTGTTTGGTACGTATGGTGAAGTTAAGGGAGTTTATGCAGCAGATGAGAGTGGAACTCGTGTTATTGTCTCCTATTATGAGGAAAGTAGCGCACAAGCAGCACTGAAGGAATTAGATGGACACCCATGTGCTAATCTTGGAGGCCGTTCGTTGCACATTCGCTATTCTGCACAATCATTGGGCAAGGTCTGACACTGTACTACCTGTGTTTACATATTTTATATTTATATGTTACTGCAGATTTGAACAGATTTGATATGGTTCTTTAATGAGCTCAATCATTCATAGTTTCAGCAATAATTCAAGATGCAATTGAGTATAGCTGTGAACACATGGATCACTCACCTATTGTCTTAACTGCATATCTTTCCAGTATATGTTTCATTTACTGTGGCAGCAGTGGACCACTTAAGCTTCATTCATATTCAGCTATCTCTTTCTATTAGTTTCAGAACAGACGTCGTTCAGAATACAATTTACATTAGAATATCCATCTGTAATTCGATGAGTTCACCTTCTTCCTCAACTAATCATACTTTTGAATTAAATATGTGATCCTCGGATAATGGTGAATATTCAGTTAAGCTCAATCTAAGTCATGATTCTTATGACTCCACTTTCTCTATCATGAATTTGGAGTAATTCAGTATCAAATGATTCAAACCATTTATGGGTCAGCATGGTTAATAGTTCAACTCAAAGTTCGTATATTTTTTGATGCTATACATTTGTGGATTTTTATGATTTCCTATTCATTTTACTGTTCCCATTATTTGTACTTTGTATTGAACAACTGTATTTCTTTTTAGGTTAAGGTCAATGACACTATTGCAGTATCAACATCAGCTTCAGATTTAAAGGTTCCTGGTGTTTACTTAGTGCATGACTTTGTCACTGCTAAAGAAGAGGAGGTTAAGGATAATCTTTTGGTGTAATATAGGGCTCTTACCCAGTTTGTTCTTCTCACACACCCACATGTTTACTCTGTTATATTATGCATTCCTTATACTATAGGAATTACTTGCAGCAGTGGATAGTCAGCCATGGCAACATCTTGCCAAAAGAAGAGTTCAGCATTATGGGTATGAGTTCCGTTATGATGTAAGTCCTGATTCATTATCGGGAATACTTAATTTGAATCAGCCTTCCGCAATAATTGATTTGATATTTTGTTTTGTTTTGTTTTCCTTTTCCTGTCTCCCTTCCCTTTTACAGATAAGGAATGTTAACACAAAGCAATACTTAGGTGATCTTCCATCCTTTGTGTCTCCAGTACTTGGTAGGATCAAAATGTTTCAAAAATTTGACTCTTCTGTGGATGTATGTGTGGATCAATTAACGGTAACTAAACTCTAAACTCTATCTACTTGTGTTGTAGTTCTGCTTGGATTAAGCACCATTAGGTGCAGATTTTTTCATTTTAATAGGGGATTTATATTCTTGGCTGACTTACAAAAATTATTTTCTTTTCCAACAACAGGTCAATGAATATCCACCTGGGGTTGGTTTGTCTCCACATATAGACACCCATTCAGCATTTGAGGGATCGATTTTCAGCCTTTCATTGGCTGGCCCTTGCATCATGGAATTCAGACTGTATTCAAAAGGTGTTTGGCTGTCGACATATACTTCCAGTTTTGATGCAGAGGAGCAAATATGTGAAAATAGCTCAAATTTTTTGCGGAAAGCTATTTATCTTCCACCTCGATCAATGTTATTGTTATCTGGAGAGGGCCGATATGCTTGGCATCATTACATTCCACACCACAAGGTATACTACTTGTTTGTATCTCTTCAGATGTTCGACAATCTTCTTTAGCCCCCGTTTGGCCCCCATTGTATTACATTCCATTTTTTTCTTTTTCAACTATTCATTTTTCCAAAAAAAAAAAAAAAAAAAAAAAAAACCTTTTCCCCCCTTTTTTTTTTACAAAAAATGGGGACCAAACGGGGGCTTAGAGTCTATACAGCATGAATTAACTTATACATCTTTAACGAGAACTCAAAGGAACAAAGCTTAATTACTTCATTTGTTTTCCAATACTTATAATTATCAGCGAGAGGCGTGTAGTGGACTGACATGGAAATTCTGTGCTCGGGCCTGAGCAATTTATTGTTCATACTGATATATATGCAAAACAATCAGAACTAAGGGGTATAATTGCTTGACATATGAAAGTTTTGTGCATTTGTTTTTAGACATGAATGAGGCAACAAGTTTTGTGTAGCCATGATTTTGGTTTGGAGAAGGCCAATTTTTATGGTAATGTTGGCATATATTTATTTTAATAGTTTGGACACATTTGCGTTTTTACAGTTTTATTAAGAATTTCTTCAGTGTTGGCAAAGTGTGCCACCGATCATTTATTTTAGCAAATTATATCCTTTGCAGTGGAAAAGTATGATCTACCTTGTTATTAATATGATCATGTATTCTTTAATTTCTCAAAGTTAGATTTGTTATTTGTGATGCAGGTGGACAAAGTGAAGGACAGTGAAATCCGGAGGGGCCCAAGGAGAGTGTCCCTTACATTACGCAAGGTATATGCATTGAAGTCGGCCTTTCACTGTTTGATTATAAAATCCTTTCAGGCTTTGAATGTTGAATTTCATTAATTGTTTTTCTGTATAACCTTGTAAACTATAGTTCCTCTCATGATTATGCTATTCGAAGAATGCCACTTGCGACATACTTACATATGGTCTAGAAATAAGAAAAATAAGAAAATCTCACGCAAAAATAATATACGGATAATATAAGGTGAGGCAGAGTGTAATTCAACTTTTCTTTCCTTCAGTTCTATGCTTTAATGTCATTTCTTTTACGTTCCAATCTGGTGAATCCTTTTAAGTTAATGACAATATGATTCTCTTTCCGCATTTTCTTAATTTGTTCACCTTGCTCACATGATGCAGGTCAGGAAAGGTCCTTGCCAATGTGAATTTCCTCAGTATTGTGATTCTCAAAATTAGGAGGATTTTTAATCTTGGCGCATACTGTGACTGGTGACCCTATAGATTGGTTGATACAGGGAATTTGAGTTCCATGAGAATCTGAATCTCTGATCTTCCCTCTTACCAGAATTGTGATTCCTATCATAGATTATGGGAATGAGTTATTATGATTATGTTAAAGTGAAGAATTTACATCAGAACAGGAAGCATTTCATGCAGATATACACTATGAATTAACTTATTTAGCCTTTTCAAATAAGAAGATGACAATTACTGACAAAGATAGGAGGGAAAAGCGATAGTTTTCGAATATTTGTTGAATATTTTTGCACTATGCAATAAAATTCTTTAAATTGTTTTGCCATTTGTTTCTGTATGCTGGTCTTGGCTTGTTCTTACTCAATTGTTTTCGTTTCTAAAACAACTTACTAGTATTTTGTTAGACTGGTGAAATTGAAAAACTTCGGTGATTAGTTTGATAAGTTGAATTGTACGAGATAAATGACAAATTTATTAGAGTATCCAACACGACTTGAATGCAAAACTTAGCAAGCAACTTGATTCACGTGCTGGCCGATGGGGGAAAATGTTGTAATTAAGTTGTATACTTGTTTGGTAGAGATTTTTTTTATTACTCATTTTCAAGTCACATATTCTTTCCATAGAATAATTTTAGACGTGAATTCATAATTTCTTCTTACTTTTTAATCAAATGTTTTCTAGAAAGATTATTTTTTACAATTTCATTCTAAAAAATTCTATAAGAAATAGACCCTTAATTACAAACCATAACTTTTCACAAGCCAATGCCATTAGGGACTAAAAGACATCTGCTCTTTTATAATCCTAGCCTAGGACGAG